TCCTGAATCTGTTCGAATTATGTTCTGAAGTGCTCCCATTGTGGTGATATGAGGTAAAGGAATCCCAAAAGTGTCACGTTTTTTTTTGTTTTTTGCATTTTTCTCCATGAAAACAAAACCAAACAATATGATTTCAGTATATTTAGAAAGCTAAAAGAAAGGGCTACAACTATTGTATCATGGGAAAAATGACCAAAAAAGGAAGGTGCATGCCCTAGAAAAGGAATGGTCAGATATAGACTACAAAGTTTACTGATAGACTACATAAGACTACAAAAGTTGGACATAGACTACAAATTTTACTGATACACTACAAAAGACTACAAAAGTTGGACTTAGACTACAAAGTTAGGGTTAGGGCTAAAAGGTTATCCAAAGTCAACCTAGCCCATCCATCCCATACATGGCACATATTTGATGGGGAAATGGCTGGGGAATATACAGATACATTGCAGGGACTCTATTCCATGTCTAGTTTGAGGAATCATATGCAAAAGAGAGCATGAGAGCCTTTAGAAAAGGCACTTTTTTAGACTACAAAAGTTTGTAGTGTCTGCTTTTTTATTGGAAAAGTTTGTAGTGTCTGCTTTTTCATTTGAAAAAGTGTGTAGTGTCCACTTTTTTAGACTACAAAAGTTTGTAGTGTCCGCTTTTTGAGACTACAAAAGTTTGTAGTTGACATGTAGGTTATGGTGTCTTTGGCCCTGTCTAGGTTATGGGGATGAGGTTGAAGGATTGACATGATCTTACATATTGCCAGTGCTGCAGCATTAGTTTTTGACATCATGCACAAGTTGTCTTTCACATTAGGAAAGGCTATTCTAAGCTTTTCATATTGATACCTACTGTCCTATCTCAAAACATAATAAGTTCATGTGGGGATATGGCTGAAGGATTGCCATGACTTTACATATTGCTATTGCCACATCATCAGTTTTTCACATCATGCCCAAGTTGGCTTTCACACCGTCTGCTTTCACATTGATAGCTACTGGCCTGTCCCAAACATAGTAAACTTTGATATCAGCTCTTTGAGGGCTATAGGATGATGAGCTGATTCATCCTGGGAGGTGTCCTCAAGTCAAGTCATGTTGTAAGTTGACCATGTATCCATGTATTGAGACAGAACAGTAGATATCAACATGAATGGCCTCCTCTGACTTGAAAGCCAACTTGGACATGATGAAAAACTGATGATGTGGCAATAGCAATATGTAAAGTCATGGCAATCCTTCAGCCATATCCCCACATGAACTTATTATGTTTTGAGATAGGACAGTAGGTATCAATATGAAAAGCTTAGAATAGCCTTTCCTAATGTGAAAGACAACTTGTGCATGATGTCAAAAACTAATGCTGCAGCACTGGCAATATGTAAGATCATGTCAATCCTTCAACCTCATCCCCATAACCTAGACAGGGCCAAGGACACCATAACCTACATGTCAACTACAAACTTTTGTAGTCTCAAAAAGCGGACACTACAAACTTTTGTAGTCTAAAAAAGTGGACACTACACACTTTTTCAAATGAAAAAGCAGACACTACAAACTTTTCCAATAAAAAAGCAGACACTACAAACTTTTGTAGTCTAAAAAAGTGCCTTTTCTAAAGGCTCTCATGCTCTCTTTTGCATATGATTCCTCAAACTAGACATGGAATAGAGTCCCTGCAATGTATCTGTATATTCCCCAGCCATTTCCCCATCAAATATGTGCCATGTATGGGATGGATGGGCTAGGTTGACTTTGGATAACCTTTTAGCCCTAACCCTAACTTTGTAGTCTAAGTCCAACTTTTGTAGTCTTTTGTAGTGTATCAGTAAAATTTGTAGTCTATGTCCAACTTTTGTAGTCTTATGTAGTCTATCAGTAAACTTTGTAGTCTATATCTGACCATTCCTTTTCTAGGGCATGCACCTTCCTTTTTTGGTCATTTTTCCCATGATACAATAGTTGTAGCCCTTTCTTTTAGCTTTCTAAATATACT